ATGTGCAGAAAATAGACAAAATATTTCAACAGATTGATACTAATTTTCAAAATCAGTAAGCATCTATCAAAAAGTTGGAGACACATATTGATCAGATAGCTCAACAACTTCCAAAAAGTTCACATGGATCATTGCCAAGCAATACAATGATAAATCCTAAAGAGTAAGTGGTGACAATAAGAGTAGTGGAAAACGATGCATCCAGAACTCCTGCAAAAGTTAAAGTATATGTACCTCCACTTTCATTTTTCCAAAGACTTCGAAAGAAGTCGATGGAAGAAAATATTCATTTTATAACTAAAAGGAGTGATGTAGAATTATCAGAGATTACTGTTAAACGACCGAAAGAAAAGATGACCAGGAAGATGTTGATAAATCTATAATGGATGAAAAATCTGCACCCACCTCAATTGAGAATAAAGAAAGTACATAAGCATTCACTACCAAGGCACCAAGTCTAGTTAAGGCTTACGTGCCTCCCATTCCTTTTTCTCAGAGGTTCAAGAAGAATAAATAAGACACAAAATTTAAAAAATTTTTTGATGTTCTCAAGAAGTTCCAGATCAATATTTCGTTGATTGATGCGATATTACAAATTTCGAGCTATACAAAATTTTTGAAAGAGATGTTGACAAATAAAAAAAGTTTCCGGAGTTTAAAATTGTGGCATTAATGGAGAAAAGTAGTGCAATAGTGCAAAACAAGTTGCCTCCCAAGTTGAAAGATGTAGAGATTTTTACTTTGCCTATTTCAATTGGAAATTCATTTGCTATTAATGCATTGTGTGATACATGTGCTAGTATAAATCTAATGTCATATTTTGTTTACAGGAAATTAGGATTGAGTGAAGTCAAATTAATAGCTGACACAACAATTTCAAAGCCATATGGCAAAGTTGATGTTGTGCTCATAAAAGTTGGAAATTTAATATTTCCAGTAAACTTCATTGTGTTGGACATACCAGAAGATCGAGATATTCCAATTATATTGGATCAGTCATTCTTAACAATGGGCCGAACTCTAATTAACATAGAGAATGGTGAACTAATATTGAGGGTGGATGACAAGTAAGAGCTATTTAATATTATACCCTGTTTGAGAAACCTTCCAACAATAATAATTGTTATAGAATTGACGAAGAGCCACCTGATGAATGAAACTGTCAGAATAGAAAATCAAAATTTGCCAAACTTCTTGGTAGAGATGAAAATGAAAATATCAAAATATGGAGAGCAAAAAAAAGATGCATAGATGAAAATTGCACAAAGTGCAATGATGGCATAATTTGGTTCGAACCACCATAATCAAACATGACACAAAGTCAGGCTTATGACGTTAAAGAAGCACTTCTTGGGAAGCAACCCAAGCTTTTTTTGTCTTTTTTATTTATTTTGTTTTTGAGTTTTAGAATAGTTTAGTTTATTTTAAGTTTATTTGTGACCCATCATTCATACCTCGTTTTCCCTTAGGTTTTCGACATATTAGTTAGTTTATTAGATGTTAGAGTTAAGTAACACTTGTTCTACTTAATACTTTATTTGATTTTTCAGGAACATGACATCGCGGAACATTTAAACCAATATTGACCAAGAAGCCAACGGGAGCAATAGGAAAGCTAGCCATTGAATTACAAGTCATATCGGGGGAGTCTTTTCTTCACATTTTTCCCACTGTATATGGGGATTTAGGACTAAATACATTGAAGACAATATTTAGTTTAAGTTTAGGGGAGGGAAACATGAGTTTTCATTTTTTTTAATGTATTTTTGTGTTCTTTTATTGTTTAGTAAAAAAAAATTAAAAGAAAAAAATATAATATAATAAAAATATTTCTTTTTATGTATTTGTGTGATTTAGTTGGTTTGGCTGACAATGACGAATATATTGAATTATGAATTGTTATATGAATGGTGAATAAGTTATATGCTTAGATTAATTTTTATTTTTTATGTGAAATTTGATATATATTGAACACATGAATTAAGCTAATCATTTTGTAGAAATTCGTTGATTTCATTATTGAATATGTTGAAATAGTGGACCNTTGTATGCTTAGATTAATTTTTGCTTTTTCATGTGAAATTTGATATATATTGAGCACATAAATTAAGTTAAACGTTGTGTAGGAATGAGTTGATTTCATAATTGGATATGTTGAAATAGTGGACCATATATGCTAAATTCAAAACCACTAAATTTTACGATCTTGGACCAAATTTAGAATAGTTTCGGTGGATTTCCCTATTGTAGGATGATGTTGAGATAAATAGGGATTACATTGTGAAATTAAAAATCTTGTGTAGATTGTTTAAAATCAATAAGATGCAATTAGGTGAAAATCTCAAGTTAGATGTCGTTTTACTCGAATTGATGTTAAGTAAGAGATATTGCACTAATTAAGGTATAAAAGAATATTTTATTAGAAAATTTATCTTCGTAACATTTATGACTCGAGTAATTAAGCATACATGAGTCTTTAAAATATGGTGCCCTATGGTCATCTGACTTGAGAGTTATCGGCTGAAAGTTTGTTACATGAAGGGAGATAATGCATCAAATAAAGAAAAAAGTACTCATATGAAAAAATAAATCAGAAAAAACAGGTGCATGAAATAAAAGAAGCACCAAATGCCTTGGTTAAGTTTCAAACACTTATTTAAAAAATTTTGACTTTTGATAACAAATTGTTAGTTTAGTTAAGTCCTAGAGATTGAAACAATCAAATTTAATGGAGAATTTTTATTTATTGAAATGTTGAACTGCAATTGGTGAAATTTTGCCAAAATAGAGAGTTGAGGATAAAAAAAAAATCCAACCTTAATTCACACATTAAAAAAGAGTGAAAACAATAAGTTTTGGGGTGTATCAATCTTACGAGTGACAAAAGAACATATTTGACTATTGAGGGTCAGGAATTGAAATAATTTATGAATTCATAATATTATACTTAATTTTTCACACACACGTATCGATTTTACATTGAAAAAGTGGATTTTAATTTTTATATTGTGATTTTGAAGCTGTGCATAAATTTTTTATTATATTTCAATCCCGAGATAAAAAGTCAGGTTAATTAGTTAAATCTTGTTACTTTACTTGATTGACTGGCCACCAGTTAAGTAATTATCATTACTTGTTTGCGTGGTTTTAATTTTGTTCGAGGACAAACAAAGATCCAAATTTGGGGATGTGATAAGTGTAGTTTATACACTTTTTCGTGACCCCTAAATGTTAATATTTTATTATCTTGTGGATTAAATTTTACATTATTTATGTTATATTGTGTTTTGTAGATAAAACTTTATGTTTCATGAAAATTTGAAGAAAAGAATGCAAAAGTAACGAAAAATGGCTAAAATTTAAAGATGAAACCTTGAAGATAAATATTACATTAAATGAGT